GTGTAATTATCGTGTGCTTTTGTCAAGTTTTTTTTTTTTTTTTTTGGTTCTTCAGAAACCGATGTTTGCATCTGTAACAACGAACATGTGACACCTGTCATTGGTATTGATGACGTCCACACGTCGTTGTCGCTTCTTGTGCTCATTGCTATTCATGATGTCTGAACGTTGTTGTCGTTTCGTGTGTCATTCGTTACTGATGATGTCTACAGCTTCATGTCGACTCCTTTGCGTTTCATTTTCATTTGCATTCACGATTGTCAAGGCAATACTGACATGGAAAGTGGTGACGGATGTATGATTCAACAGATGCTTTATCACAGATTCACGGATTTTCATACAAGCCATTCCAAAGGCGCGCACAGATGAAGGCAAGAAAACCCACACACACACAACGTCTCTCTCTTTAACAAAGTACTTGTCATTCGTCAGGAACACGGAGAACAACCTCCAGGACTTCAAAAAAAAGATGACAAGATATGTTGTGTGAATGCTGTCACTCCTGGCAATAACACAACACGTTACAGTTACGATTAAACAGACCTTCAAGGCAACTTTGATCCCGACCACCTGGCAATAACACAACACGTTACAGTTACGATTAAACAGACCTTCAAGGCAACTTTGATCCCGACCAGCCTAGAAAAGAGCACACACCCACGGAAATGGACTCCGTCACTATCACCCGTCACTCACGGTGGCACCACACTACAAATCGTCGCAAAGACATACAACCTTACACGCATAACGAAACCCCCGCCGACGAGGCGATGGACTGTGCCATCGCCATCAACCCCACCCAGCGATAACCTCCTGAGTGCGGCGCAATGCGAAAGTACACATAACTAAAGTGCGCCAGACTAGCCGCCGTATGCACGCCAACGGCCACCAACACAGCCAGCAGTCGATTCTCTCTCTCTCTCTCTCTCTCTCTCTCTCTCTCTCTCTCTCTCTCTCTCTCTCTCTCTCTCTGTGTGTGTGGCTGCATACCGCCTGCTCCCAAAGACTGACCGTCTTCACTGCGTACCCATTCGCTCCGCCAGTGCATCTCGCAGGATTAGCGCATCCTCCGTCGACGACTCCATACACATCTGCCTCAGCGGGCGGTGCATCCCAAGGTCCACCCTGCGACGAACAGCGTCCGGCCCGACCTCTCACAGCAGATTGTCGTCGAACGGGATGCCCGCGTCGATGAGTATATTGTGCAGAATGCAGACGACGACGAATCGTTGCGGCAAGGTCTCCATGTTCGTCTTGTGGGAGCGAAGGAACAACCGCCACATACCCTTCAATCTGCCAAAAGCCCTCTCGACTGCTCCCCTTGCCGTCTTCTGCTTGTTGTCGAACCGCATTTCCGACGGGTGCTGCAATACGCCGCCGTAGGGGACGACTACCCATTCCGAGGGGGGGTAACCGTTGTTGCCCGGTAGATACCCGTTCGTCCGCACACCCAAAGGCAGCATGACGGGTGGCCCACTGAAAAGTTCCCCTGCCTCCGCGCGCGCCCGCAAACTGGATAGGTGGACGATCCTCACGTCGTGGCAACTCCCCGGATATCCGACGAACATATCCAGCACGCGCAAGTTCAGATCGACGACCACCTGAGCCTGGACGGAGAAAAAACGTTTTCTGTCGTAGTAGTCCTCTCCGGGGCAATTGCCTGGCTTGTCGATGTAGATGTGGGTACAATCGATGCAGCCATGGCAGTTGGGGAAACCCTTGTCAGCGAAAGCGTGCAAGACGATCGCCTTTTGCAGCCCCGTTGGCCACGATATCTTGTCGCGGTACGCACTCAGCAACGCCGAAGTTACATCCCGCACAGCCACCAACCTAGACTTTCTGCCAAGTCGAAGCTGCATGTCCCGCTCTCGTATGTTTCCCCCAACGCCCATCTGTACAAAGCGGACACTACAATGAGGTCAGGCTGGAGGGGCTCCCTATAGAAAGTGACACGCCGTTGAAGGAAGGGAGACAAAGCTTCCGCTATCTCCCGGAACACCCGTGGTGACATGCGCAGCTTCTCCTTGAAGTAGTCTTCCGTCGGGTCGTCGCATTGCCGCAGATCCTCCCACACCCCCTCTGTTCGACGCTTCATCCACCACTTGGGCGTCGCTCTGGGAAATGCTCCACACCCCATGTCGTAGCACACTTGAAGGACGGCGTCACAAATGGCAACAATGCCCTCTTCGTCCACATGCATGGACTGCAGCATCTTCTTCCGGCGTGCGCGAATGGCTGCTCTCATCCTCCCCTCGGTCCTCTGCAATTGACACCTGATGAGTATCATGTTCATGGCCGCTGCCACAGCCGCCCTCTCCGCCTTGCTGAGTGTGTCATGAACCACATCCCCGTCCACGTCCATCGCACGTCGTCGCCAAGTGAAGAAAGGCTCGACTTCGGTGAGAACAACAGCGATGCTGCGTTGTCACAACCCGACTGTACGGCGTGCACGTCGACGTCGGAGGTGCGGATAGCGTAGTAGACAACGTTGGCGATCGTGTGACGGCGGCCGTGCTGCTTCAGACGTATTCATGGACGTTCGGCGTGCCAGCAGAAGCCGCGCAGCCGCCTCCCCGTACCCAAGCGGTCCCACCGACGAACGTTGCTGCCGTCAGCCGTAAGGGACACCCACGCCGCCATCATTCGCTTACGGGAATTCGAATTTCGAAACTCGAATCCGGGACTGCGCGCCGTTTTCGTAGCCTTTTTTTTTTTCCTGCCGTGTTCTTTCGAATTCGCGCCGCCCACAACTCCTGGACCGAGGACGACGCCACGGACACAACTCGATGGACCAACCTCGCCCCCCCCCCCCCGCGTCCGCGTATCGAAATATCTAATTGGCCACGGGAGCGCCCGAGGAATCGTCCTCGGGGAACATTTCCGAGGATGAGTGGAACGAAGGCGGGAATTTCCTCGGGCAACTCCAAGGAATCGTCCTCGGGGCCTGAGGATGCCCCGAGGAGTGTGGAACGAGCCCCTATGGTTGATAAGAAGACAAGAGGACTTTTAGGTGGTCCCCACTGCTTTGTGGCAAAGCTCTGGAAGACGATTTGTGAGATCCCACTGCTTCGCAGAAAAAGCTTCGGGAAATGCTGACAAATGACGTGGCACGTATTTCCACTCAGTTTAGTTTTGCCCGTTCCTTGCAGTTTGGTCATCCTGAGGGGGAAGGATGGGGGGCACCCCCCTCGGTTTGCTCATAGCATGTGGAACGGAGAGCCAGGGATTGGACGGGCACCAGGACAAGGGGATGTGAAGTTTCCGTATAGGGAAAGTTTTCCCTAATATGGGGTAACCAGCAACGGCAGGCCTGCCGGAAATTCGTGCGGCACTGGGGTCCGCTCTTCTATCTCTTATCGCCGGGGCCTACGATTTGGGTTTGGAGGAGGCCATGGGGTCCACCCCTAGGGCGGCGCTCCACTACTCTCGACATGCACAAAAGACAAAAATATTGCCGGTCTATCTTTTCATGTTCTAGCGGAAGATTCAGGGTCTCGCTCCACTACTGTCCACTGTACAATTTTTCGGACAGTTGGTGGACAGTTGTCAGAGCGAAATATTGTACAGTGGACACTGTCAGTGGAAAATGCGACATCGCTCCACTTGCTGTCCGCTGTCCACCTCTCAAATTCGTGGCTTCACTACCAGACACAGTGATGGCACTACAAGGCAGGACGTCCATAGGGTTTTGTCCGCCCAAACTCCAGGTGCACTGTCCAAATTCGGGTCCTCAGGGTGAGTCCCTTGAAGGACTTTCCACGTAACGAATTTTGCAGGCTGGGAGCTGTACATTCACAGACAGTAGATTTTCGACGGGGTTTCTAAAAACTGTCCAAGCCATTTTGCACATGTACAGTGGACAGTAAGTGGAGCAAAGTACGACTGTCCGTTTTTGTACAGTGGACAGTAGTGGAGCGAGACCCTCACTAGATGCTCACTAGATGTGCAAAGTGAGAATGAATCTTCCACTAGAACATGGAAAGATACAACGCCATATTTTGTGTCTTTTGTGGGTGTCGGTACTAGCGGAGCAGAAGCCCAGAGCTGTCTCTTATACACATCTAGATGTGTATAAGAGACAGGGGTGGCCTGATAGCCTTCAGGGATCCCCCACTGGGGGGCTTAGACCAGGGGACAGCCGGTAACAGAGGGACCGAGCATCATCTGCGTGGCCAGTCGTTGTGCCTCCCTGAGTATCCCTCGATAGGTGGCGGGCGCCAAGCATGCCCAGGAAGGTACATGAGGCCAATGGGGATTGAACCCAAGACCTCCTTAATGCCACTTGCGTGCCTTACCAACTGAGCTAGGCCGCTGGATCCGTTTTGCACATTTAAAGAGTAGTGGAGCCAGGCCCCTAAGTTGTTCATTTTCTTCCCCCTCCTCAAAAAACGTCTGACGGTGTCAGAGGATGCCCTACTACCCCTGCATTTGATAAAGTGCTTGGAACTGAATAGTTGCCTTCAAATATTTTAAGCATTTCAAAAAAAATTAAAAAAAGAAAAAAAAAGGAAGAAAAGAAAAGAAAAAAAAAGAAAAAAAAAGAAAGAAAATAATTACCGTAGCTTCATAATGCCTTCAAACGCTCTTTCTCCCTTCTTCTTCCTCTCCTTCTCCTTCTTTTTCTTCTTCTTCTTCTTCTTCTTCTTCTTCTTCTCCTTCTTCTTCTTCTTCTTCTTCTTCTTCTTCTTCTTCTTCTTCTTCTTCGGATCCTTAGCAAGGTCCCTAGAGATCTTTGATCTCGCAGATGTACCCCCACTTCAGACAGACAGAACCATGATGAAGGGTTACCGAGAACTCAGAATGGGGTCGGGAGGAGGAGTTTAAGAACTCGTATTTTCGTCCGTTTTTGGGAATAGGTGCATAATGTTTTTTTGGCGGCAGTACAGATGGTACTGACAAGTAGGGAGGTACCAGGTTTTTTGAACACGAGCGGGAGTATGTACTTCTGAATTTTTGGCACCATGGTATCGTATAAAAGTAGGAGGGACAAGTAATTGTACCTCTTTTTGTAACCGTCACGCCACTGCGGACGACGAAAGCAATTTAGGCTTTGATAGTCGCCCGCCGGCGAAGAAAGCGGTGCTCCATGGGCTCATTCGCTATGTCGTGCAGGAAGAGGATGACGCGCAAGAGGTACTTCGATCTGAGGTTGGGATGTTATGGTTGTGAAGGGAGTGATGAGGGAGAAGGAAAGGGAGGGAGGAAGAAGCGGAGTGTGAGGGGGAATGTTGAGACATGATGACACGACCTGGAGAGACTTGCAGTACGCGCAAGTCGAAACGCGTCGAGGGGTGCGTATGGTGTGTGCGTGTAAGGTGTTTGGCACGCAGTAAAATTGTGATACTTCATCAGATTGTGATGCTTCATTAGTAATTAATCTGTGTGTCCTCCTGGGAATTGGTTTTTTACCTGTTCGTTTCTTACCCGATTTCTGGGAAAACATGACGACCAACGAGACAGTCCGGTTAGAGTTGTTACGATTGGTTATCTGTTACCTTGCGGTAACGAGGAGCCAGATTTTGATTGGGGGAAGCAAGTTGGGGGTGAAAGGGGAGTGACGGGGAGAGGAGTAGAGATGGGAAGATCGATATCTTTGAAGAGGAAAGTGCGGAACTTCACTGATCTACGGGCCATGAGGAGGTTTAGGATGGTCCTATGACAGATGATTGAGAGTATTTTTGTGCGTTTGAACGTTCCTGATAGGCATAGCGAAGCAGTGAGATGGGGCATCGTTAGTTACTGTGGTTTGTGCGAGAGACTGTTGAGCACATTATGGCGGCTGATTCTTCGTCCTATTACCAAGCTAGCCATGAAGGAATCTCGTTGGTATAAATGGAAGGTAGTCCCGAGCAGTAATAAGGTACTTCGCGAGTTTGATAGGGTGTGTAGGATCGTGCGGGAGTTGGTATCTGCTGTGATTGAGGGGAATACATGAGCGATGTGAGATGGCGAATATGGGGATGGGTGTACAAGGATTGGTGAGCCCGAACATGGGCAATCCGAATGTCAGTCCAACCATGGGTAATCCAAACATGGTTCCGATTGGGTCGGGGGGACAATACATGGGATCGCCAAATAGCGCCCCTGTATCACCATTCGGAACAGTGACATGCCATATATGTGGAAAAAACGGGCACTATGCCCGTAATTGTTGGCAGGCGCAAGCAGTTGGGAAACAGAAGATTAGTGAGGAAGACTCCGAAATGAAGGAGCTTTTTAGGAAGCTTATGCAGAAGGAGCAGGAGAAACAGGAGAGGAAGCAGAGAGAAGCTGAGGAGACAAAGAAAAAGGAGGCGGATGAGAGGAGGGAAGGGGAGAAGATCCGGGAGGAAGAGGCGGGAGAGGCGCGATTGGAGGCGACAATATTACGAATCCTGGCGCAAAATCGATCATCGGTTGCCGAAGTCAAGCCGGCGTGTGGAGTCGATAAAAAAACGTCTCCAAGATCAAAGGCGCGCTTACTACGCGAGATTCGAAGCTATATCGCTGAGTCAGAGGATGAGAGCGAAGAAGTAGAGTTAGAAGTGGATAAGCTGGTTGAGGCACTCGAAGGGAGGAAGAAGAGTAAGAAGAATGCGGTGGTGCAGTCGACGCTGCGAGCGGCGACTAGTCGGATCGTGAGGAAGAGTCCCGACACACGTAGGGGAAGGAAGAAGGCATCTGAACCAACGGTGATCGAGGAAGGGTTTCTTACGCCAAAGAAAACGTGCCTGGCTGAGTGTTCAAGCGAAGGCCTGGTCGAATTCACACTCTCGCAGTCCAAGCAATTGAGAAGTCTCAAGGCAGGTGAGATCAGGAAGTTATGTGATAAGGAGGGGGTCGAATACGTGGTCAAGCGAAGGCCTGGTCGAATTCACACTCTCGCGGTCCAAGCAATTGAGAAGTCTCAAGGCAGGTGAGATCAGGAAGTTATGTGATAAGGAGGGGGTCGAATACGTGGTCAAAGACCAGGCTATTCAAGAACTTGTCCGGTGTCGAACGAAGTTTGCCTATGAAGGGTTCTTTGAACAAGCGGCGCATGCTACTCCTGCGAAGAAGACAGCAGAAGGTTTGGGCAGTCCATAATGATGATGACATCGTGCAATGCGATCACCCGTTTTCGGGCGCTGACAAATAAAAGGAGAGGTAGGGATGATGCGAATATGCATCCATTGCTAGATCGTTTGGAAGAAAACGAGATGGCAATGTTATTTCTCCTCTTGGCAGTCAGGGGACTGGTACCGTGGTTTAGGAAGTCATTGAGATTGGTGGTCCCTGATCGCATTGATGTCAATTCGTCGGGTGTGTATGCAATCGTTAGTCCTTTGTGTCGAAGGATGTATATTGGATGTACCGTACGAAAGATGATTACTCGATGGACCGAGCACATTAGATGTGCGAAGTCGGGTAGTGTCGGGAACGCCCCGAAGCTCCACTCATGGTTAATATCTTTTGGTTGACACTCATACGTTGACGTCGATGACGGATTGGAGGTCGAACGAGCACTGATCCATAGATTCTCACCATCGCTTAATACAATTGGTCGAGGGAAGGGTCAGACTCGAAAGCGGCGGAGGAGGAAGGTAGCACAAGTGGAGAGAATACATAAGAGGGGGGGTATTATTGAGTTTTGTCATGATAACTATCGATATGCGTCCTTGGAAGGGTTGTTTGATCATGTGATGGGGAAGAAGGTTGAGATTAGCATCGTCATCACAGGAGGGAAGATTTGGATTGGATCTAGGAAGCGTGTCCGGGGGAAATATGGCGAGACCATGGTTATTATCAATCACAAGAGAGAACGATTGAGAGACGCAAAGCAGGATATCGAATCTGGAGGTGTCCTTCGGGTTATCAATCTGATTGCTACCTCAACAGGCGTGCAACGGAACAAGCGGCTTCTGAGGGATGTACTCGTTCAACCATATCGAATTAAAGAAATTTACGGAATGATGAGTAAGAGACTCGTTGGTCTATACCGGACTGCCGGACTTTTCGCTAGAGATGCGACACGAAATACGCTGAAGAGCAAGATTGCTCGGGTTATCAAAGAGCGGTTCGGAACGGACGTTCGTAGGAGAATGATCGTTAAGATCCTGTTCTCAGCGCAAGTGGACATGCGCGCTGTTAGGGATCTGATTACAAAGACCATCTTGATGTCCGTTGGTGATCAAAATGAGCAGTCACTCGTTATAGAGCGTATGAGGTTAGTCCGGTTGAAGAATCGCATGGTTGCTAGTGTGATTCACAACTATAGACAGATTATTGACAAAGGACAGGAAGTATCGTTTTGTAAGGGGATTTCTCTCGATCGATTTCAAGGACATGTGCGGACTAGACATGATCACGTAGAAGGAGTTGATAAGTTCCTTCATAACTCGCGGAATATTACAGGCGGTAGGACGATCAGTGAATTACAGATTCTAGATTGCATCTTCCAAGCTACCCCCAAAGGGTGGCGACGGTATCTGTTGATGCTGGACCGAGTTGACGTTCGACGTTGCTTGAATGTCAAGAGCTCTGCACTTACTGCTATGACTGAGCATGAGGTATCGGCGCAGGTTCTGGGGCTCCGGGGGCTGGTTTTGGTCCCCCAGGATAGAAATCCAGGTGCCACGTTAGTGATCTGTCCGGTTCTGTATCTACATGGGTTTCGCATGACATTTTGCTGGAATATCGGGTTTCGTCGCTTGATGATGACAGAGTCACGGGTACTTACGATGGGGAAGGAGGACTATCAGGATCCGGGGCTGACGAACGTGGCTACATGGCGCACATGTGGAAGGATAGGGAGGGCATATGTCCTCCTGAAGGACAAAGATTTTTCCAGGTGGAGACCGATCTCCCCATCATGGTCCGAACCATCTCGCACGGCTTGCGCTCGTCTTGGGAGAGCGATTCGATACATGATGTTGTGTCTGCCAGGGAGTTACCATTTTAGCTTGAAGAGCACGGATGACTTGAAGGCAACACTCACTAAGGCTGTGGACACGCTTCGCAAGACTGGTGACATGGTCGTGGCGAGATGCTACGACATCAAGGATATGTTCGCTAAGCTTCCGCATAGCGACATAATCTTATTTGTTGCATGGCTCGTTAGTACTCTTGAAAAGCGTGGACTCGTCGCGGTGAAGGTGAGTGTTCGTGGGAAAGCGTGCAAGATGGCACGGACCTTGCGGAAGGAAGATGGGTATGTATGTCTGACATTCGGCGTTATTATGAAGATGCTGCGGTATGAGCTGGGACATACGTATACAATGTGTGGTACCTTCGTGTACCAACAAATCTTCAGCATTCCAATGGGAAAGCATTCATTTCCTGCTCTTGCCAATCTGCTATGTGCCAAGGCGGAGTTTGATTTCCTGACTTGCATAGGAAATGAACGCCGCTTCATCTCCGGTGTCAGGATGGTGGACGATGTGTCCGTGCTCGTATCCTTTATGGCAAAGGACGTGGACACGTATCAGAGGGCAATGCGGCTATTTGAGGACTTCACAGAGGCGTACCCGCCGACACTAAAGTTGGTAAGGAAAGACGACGGGAACAATGTCTAGGAATTTCTTGGAAGTAAAGTATTTCTTATTCCTGATGAGCCGAGGGTATTGGTGTTTCCCAGAACGAAGAACCAGGATTGGCTAATGAAGGAAGGCAAGTTGCATTTTCACTCAATGCAGGACTATCGTTCGTATTCTGCGAAGAGGGTGAAGAGGACTACACTAACGGCATCCATGCTGCGGGTTTGGAGACAATCCACTGACGAGGAAGGAGCAGCAGCATTGGTCCTTTGCCTGGTGAAGGAATCGCGCCTCCGGGGGCACCCCCCGGAGGTCTTCTTCGGATCCTTAGCAAGGTTTGCTAAGGTAGTGGGTGGTCCCTGGAGATCTTTGATCTCGCAGATGTACCCCCACTTCAGACAGACAGAACCATGATGAATGGTTACCGATAACTCATAAGGGGGTCGGGAGGAGGAGGTTAAGAACTCGTATTTTCATCCGGTTTTGGGAATAGGTGCTTAATGTTTTTTTGGGGGTAACGCGTAGATTGAAGGGGTAAGCCGTTAGGAAGCAACCTTAATAGTAATCAAATAATAATAAAGATTTAAAAAATCCTTGTGTGGGGTAGCCAGTTTTTCCTTTTTCCTGTGTGTTTTTTTGGGCGCACAGGTACCTTTAGTATGACCGCAGTACAGATGGTACAGACAAGTAGGGAGGTACCAGGTTTTTTTTAACACGAGAGGGAGTATGTACTTCTGAATTTTTGGCACCATGGTACCGTATAAAAGTAGGAAGGACAGGTAAATCTACCTCTTTTTGTAACCATCACGCCACTGCGGACGGCGAAAGCAATTTAGGCTTCGATAGTCGCCCGCCGGCGAAGAAAGCGGTGCTCCGTGAGCTCGTTCGCTATGTCGTGCAGGAACAGGATGACGCGCAAGAGGTACTTCGATCTGAGGTTGGGGGGTTATGGCTGTGGAGGGAGTGATGAGGGAGAAGGAAAGGGAGGGAGGAAGAAGCGGAGTGTGAGGGGGAATGTTGAGACATGATGACACGGCTTGGGACTATATATTCAGTGTTTGTACACTTGGAATGTAGTCACGGGTGTGCCCTCCTGAAGAGACTTGCAGTACGCGCAAGTCGAAACGCGTCGAGGGGTGCGTATGGTGTGCGCGTGTAAGGTGTTTGGCACGCACCAAAATTGTGATACTTCATCAGATTGTGATGCTTCATCAGTAATTGATCTGTGTGTCCTCCTGAGAATTGGTTTTTTACCTGTTCGTTTCTTACCCGATTTCTTCTTTTTTTTTTTTTTTTTTTTTTTTTTTTTTTTTTTTTTTTTTTTTTTTTTTTTTTTTTTTTTTTTTTTTTTTTTTTTTTTTTTTCTTAAGGCCCGGCCCCTTTTCCGGGTTGAGATGTGGAGGGATTCCCAGCCTCCTTTTGCCATATTAATGAAACTATGCTATTTTMAAAAAAAAAAAAAAAAAAAAAAAAAGAAGAAAAAGAAGAAATTGAGGTCGGGAATCTTCTTTTTTTTTTGTTTTTTTCACAAAGAAAGGTCTTTTCATTCAATTGCCGGAAACCGGGTCCGGCGTCCCATACATTTGTTCCATGGTCATACGGTTGGGTAAGGAACTCCCGGCCATGCCCATCCAGACCATGGTAAGACCACAGACAGATCACAGATAGTTATCATTTGCAACCAAAAACCAAAACTAAAGTTCTACCAACCTACACCAACTTTTAAAAGCAAAACTAAAGTTCTTACCAAAAATAAAATTCTGCCAATCTACACCAGCTTATAAAAGCATACGTAAAATTCTTACCAACCTACATGAGTTATTTAAAATGGACTAAGGTAAGATAAGGTGAAATCACAGAAAAAAACCAGAAAACCTTAACACAGGCGACCCCTCCAACGGTGTGTCCATAGTAACCAAGCCTGAAAAAGCACCCCATCGGCTGCCAAACCACTTTACAGACTTAGCCGAGTAACCCTTTTTCTGCACACGATATTCCCATTCTGCAGATATGGCCTACTTAATGGAATATTTAATCTCAGCTATAACCATTGGCAGCTTCAAAATCTCCTCTCTCCTCACCCTAGCATTCCTGAGATTCCAAAGGGTCCATATAACGGCCCCTCTAATAGTCTCTTCCGCATGGCCATATTGTAGCCGTGGCCTCGTTCTTCCGGAAGCGGTCCCCATCAGGATGAAGCAATCTTCCCAACGGGTGTCCACGTGTGGCACTGGCACATCCGAATGTCTCCACCAATCCCAAAATGGTCTCGAGAGGTCACATAATAGTACAAAATGTTGTATGTCTTCCATCCGAGTCCCCGGGCATACCCGACATTCCGGCGTGGCCTTCGCAGTTCGTTTAGCACACCGGGTGTTAACCGGCAGCGCCTGATGCATCAATAACCAAAGCAGACTGGAGTGCTTACTTACCACAAGGTCCATCAACTGCTTCCAGAAGGCGGGGAGTGCACCAGAGCACCTTGTCATCGTGTCAGCCACCCACCCAGACGCCATCCATCTTCTGGCGACGGTCCAATTAACATCTATTGACGGGGTCATTATTAGATAACCCAACTTGGTAGTGTATTCTGACAAGTTGAGCAGCTCATTAGTTCTCAACGGGTGTTCCCACGCCCAATCCCTGGGGTCAACTGGCAAATTATACGTCGGCACCTGCAAGGCAAAAGGTCTTTAGCTTTGTTCCTGCTCCAGAATACAGACTGGCAACAATTGATCCACAGGAGGAAGAGGAGGCTGCTCCTCAGCAAATGACAAAGGTTCTCCCAGGGAGTCTGCACCTCCTCGCACTTGCCAACAGGTGGTCGAAATTGCTACCACTTCCGAATATTCCTCAATTCTCCAAACACAGTGTGGCATTCGCTGTTGAACCTGTTTATACCACATTCCTTTGACAGGCGTAAGTCCCATTCTCAGAGTACACTCCCATTGGTGAGGAATAACATTTTTCAGCTGTTCCAAATTCTCCGCCTGACGCCACAGGCCAAGCAGTCTCTAGGCCAGCGATTCAACAGTTTTCCAGTCGGCAGTAGTCACATCCCAAATGTCAGCTATAGTTCCAATCCCACGGGACATCCAAGCATTTCCAAACTCTCGAGCTCCAAAGCATCCAAAAGGAAGTCCCTGGGAGTTGAGTAGAAAGGGATTGTTAAATAACGGCTGCGTCATTACCCTCTCGAAAATAAACGGGGGGGGCTGTAACTTAGGACAACCCCTTCTCCAAGTTTTCAGAATTCCCGCCCATACTCCCGAAGGTTATCTCTTCCGCAGATAGTCCGGGATAAGAACCATCAACCATATACATCTAAGATCTGACCAATCCAGCCAAGAGAGCAATGAAAATTCTGCTAACTGTCGCCACGGAGTGTGAGGGCTTTTCAAAATGGCCCACGACACCCATCTCGCAAGGAGCGCCGCGATTTGCCGTTCAGGGTCTAGAATTGCTAGACCGCCTTTCCGTTTTGGTTGGGTAATGGTCTGCCATGCGACTTTTGGCAAGAAATTATCATCGTTGAGCTCCTCTTTCCACAAGTAATGAGTCAACAATTGTCGTATTGTCTGTAATGCCGACTGATCGAGCTGATGAAGCGATCTATGGAACCATAATGTTGACAACACCGCATTATTGATCACTATAGCTCTTCCAAACAAACTAGCTCCCTTATATTTGGTCCATGGTTGCAGCGCCGAGCGCAGGCCCGCAATAGAAGGAGCCGGGTCTTAAATCAAAAGTGATCAAACGACAATTGATGGCCGAGCAGTCTTGAGGCCATAAATCTTCACAAACAACCCGGATAAACAATGCTCGTGCTGGAAATGGAGTCCAGCGTCCCAACCACTTATCCCCAACTAAACAGTTCAGAATCTCCCAAAATTAAAAGCTTGAAGCAGAGGTGTATGATCTCAAATGTTCTCAATGATCTGTACAAGTCGAATGGGACGCTGGGCCCCGTTCCCAGCACGTGCTGCTCCCCACAAATAGACTGAAGCATTCGTTATCAAAAAAAAAAAAAAAAAAAAAAAAAAAGCGCAGAGGTGTAAAAGGAAGAAGTGTTGGGAATCCTGTCCAGGGGCCAAGTCCCACTAGCAGCGTTGAACTATCTCAACGCCTGAATCTGGACGCTTTTGCGGAGATGTGCACAAACGGTGTTGAGTTTCGTGTAGCTCAACGCTGCTAGTGGGACTTGACCCCAGCCCCCCTTTATTCTTCTCTCAATCTATCTATATACTCATCTTTGTCAGTCGTCTCGTCCTGCGTAGCATGGCGAACGTGTTCGCACCCCTCCATGTTCACGCGAACGTGTTCGCGCGAACAGGTCGCGAACATGTTCGTGCGAACAGGTCGCGAACATATTTTTTTCGTAAAAAAAAATAAAAATAAAAAAATTGTTTTTTCGGTTTTTGATTTTTAACTCATGATTGGCTGAGAATTTGAACATGACTCCATTGCAAAAAAGGCTTGTTTTATTATTTTACATAACATATAGTTTTTTAAAAATTTTCTGAGATTTTTTTTTTTTTTTTTATAAATATTTTTTATGTTCGCGTTCAGAGGGTTTTGAGCGCTTGTTTGCGTTCTCCTCCGAACGCGAACACGGTGCTACGTAGGTCTCGTCCTGTTGCTAGTCTTTTTTTTTTTTTTTTTTTTTTTTTTTTTGACAATGAGAATAATTTTAGGCCATAAAATGCCACCCACCTGCTACCCCTAAACCTAAACCTGTCAGAATATAGAGAGCTCTGCCCTTTTTCGTTTAACTGCCACTTATCCACATCTACATGCAAAAATCATCTGCCTAAAGGCCCTTGTGGTTCAAGAACACCCTTCTAGAGGACGGTCTTTTGAAAACTATTCAGAACAATCAAATCAATCTTGAAGAATTATACTGATTGATTTGGCATCTACCTATAAATTGTTGCCAAGCCAGGGTGCCAGTGACACGTTGTGATCTTCTGATACAGATGCCAGTGGATTGGTCCCCGCCCAAAGTT